AGAAGTGCGTTGGTAGCCAGTAGGGCTCATCAGCAAACTTGAATTCAAAGGAGTTCCTGGCTCGGAACGGTCGGGTGAACCAGATAATTGGAATGATGATAATGCCCGTGGCTGGGAACCAGCAGGTGGGATAGAGAAGTCGAAGGACATATTTGCAGACTGGGACGGTGAAAAGATGAATGAAAAAAGGACGAGAGAAAAAAAGAATGAATGACTTGGACTTTGCGAGTCGCTGGAAACTGCTCTACTAATGAGATGTAATGCTTGTTAACATATTTATACGAAAACCTGACTTACATTAGTGGGTTCTGTGCAGGATCAATGACGGCCTCAAGGCATATCTTCAGTTTCCTATTACTTGTAATAAGGATCATGTTTGGTGGTAGCCGGCACAGGAAGGATGACCTCAAGGTATAATTTCGGTTTCGTGGTTGTAATAAGGACCATGTTTGATGGTGGTGGGCGCTGTTATAATGATGGCCTTGAGGCATAAGAGTTCCAGTTTTGAGTCACTGTTGGATGGTATTAATCTGGTGGGCTGCAGCCAAACGGCAACACCGCATAGCAGCAAGTATTGGTAATCAACTAAGATCAAAACGTCTCGAGGCGGCACAGCAGATGATAATATTATTATTGAGGTGGGATACTATAGCTAGTAGCAGATGATATGTAGAATGGGATATCAATATTAAATATACTAGTAGCAGATGATATGTAGAATGGGATAATATTAAATATAGTAGTAGCAGATGATATGTAGAATGGGATAATATTGCGTTACTGGACTTGTAATACAGACCGGTGTTGCTGCAGCGATCTATTAACTTGTAGGCCTCGACCCCGTCCACGTGGTCCATGTGCTGCCGCCGTAGATGTCACGGAAGCTCCACTTGTGGTATTGTTACGTGTCCGAATCTCCCTGGCAGCACCCTCGAGGATTGCAAGGTTCATATCGGGTGGCTGAACAGGTACCCGAAGGCCCTGCATGTGTTTTGCGTCTCGCATCCGTGCGGTGTTGAGAACGAGGTCATCAGGATCCCCGATATGACGTATCACGGCCTTAGCTTTCGACGTCTTCGCTCGTTCTTCATAAACAAACTCAATATCAGAAGGCGAGCTTGTGCAGTTGTGCGCTCGGCACTGATGCTGCAGATTTGCTGCGCATAAAATTTGCTTTCACGGAAACAGAAATTTAGTGATTGACAACATGTACAGATAAACCACGAACCTCAACAGGATAGAGCAAGAAACCGCCGTGTGCCCTGACTGCGGGCATAGAGTAGGACACCGCTGGTTCACCAACACTTCCGCGTTCCAGAAGAATCGCATCTGGACGCAGAAGTTTATCTGCGTCCGAGCCTTGGCGCTGGATGATTTCGCGAATGCACGCCACAATCGGAGACTCCTCTGCTGTGCCCTTAGCTGCAATGACCCAGTCTCCTATCTTGCAAATGTCCCCGTTGAAAAGTACCACGGACTTGCAGGTACGAAAATTATGTCCTCTGAGAATGTCATTTGGAAGGGACCGGAGTGCGTTTGGGAATAATTTCCCTGTCTCGGTAGTGGAGTATGGTTGGAGTGGTAGGTTGCTACGAAGGCATTGACCTAAAGGTACTTAGTATTATATTTCTCAAAGCCGGAACTCGTGTAAAATCAAACTTTACCGTATTTCGTGGTGTCAGCCTGTGTATCAAGTCCGAGGTAGTCCGTGATGATATTCGGCCGTTGAACGAGTGACAATGGACCCTTTCCGACAACTTGAACATTTATAGCATCCGGCGGCTTGTCTGACAAGGGATTAGAGACCTGCAGAGTAAGATCGGGAGAATCAGAGTGGATATTGTTAGTATTATCGTGTATCAGTATTCGTGCGCCCGAGAGAATATGACGAATCCGACTCCCATGGGCAAAAGAACGCGCGATATCTCGAGAAGGAGCACGGTGGTTCGAATGGATGCTTTTTGCGCGGATGACAGCATTGAAGGACTCAAATGCCTCTGTTGCAAATAAAGCGGCTGGCCCGAATCGTTGAATGTGGTCAACAACATGCAATAGAATATGGAATTTAGGTTTATTGAACCATCGAGGAGTCCACCTGGCAGTGCACGCAAGGAAGTTATTGATTGATGTCGTGAGATTGCGCTGAGACGATAATGATCGAATAATATCAATATCAGCAAATCAAACTGAAAAGTACTGTGCTACATACCAAGTGTTCCGTGGAGTTTTCGATTTCAGGCTGCCAGATGAGTGGTATCAGGTTCGATAATGCAACCCAAGTATCATAGCATTCCGTGGGTACCAAGTCGTGAAGCACAAAGGGTGCAACCTGCGCAATGGCACGAAAATCACGACCAACAAGAGACCCTGCATATTGAACGAGGGTGTGACCGGCAAGATGGCTGAGTCCAAGACCCGAGACGTCGACAGATGATAGGCGAGTTTCTAAAAGCTCGCGCTTCAACTTGTCTTTTCCGATCCTTACAGAGACCACATCACGCCAAAGGTATTTGACGAATCCAAGAAGGACCGTGTGGAGGATTTCCACGGGTGTGTCAGCGTGAGGATCGATACCTGGGATATTGTCGAAGTCAATCCCACGCTGTGAAAATAGTTGAGATACCTTTTATTCGCCAAACGGGACTTGTGACGTTTTCGGGCAGCGTCTCTTTGACTCTATCGAGCGCTTCCTGTTTCGCCTTACCACCCCGAATTTTGCAGTGTGATTCAGCTAGGCGATTCAAGAATGAGTCCAGAAAGGTGTCCTTGATGCCCGTGGAAGTCTTCCACTGCTTGATCTGGGTCTGATTCCCAACTGTCGATGCATGACTGAACATTGACTTGAGTTCAGAAATGGTTTCATTCTTGTGACGTGGTTCTCCTATCTGGTACCATGCTTCGTAAACAAAATTATATTCAAGACTGCGCAGATTTGTTACCTTTACAAACCGCTTAACCCGTGTTACCATCTCCTCCATGGTCTCCTTTGCTCGTTTCCGTGTAGATTTCAGAGGAGCATCAGTATGGGCTTCGGGCTCACTTCCACTAACCTCACCAACACTGTGGTCGGTATCATCAGGCTGTGCAGCAGCTGCTCGTGCAGGATTGCTCTCTGCACTTGCATCGTGCCCCTTCACTTTACACATACGGCAAAAGTATTTTCCCATCGACCCAATATGACAGGCCATCTCACTTTGCATGGGGTTGTCCCCAAGCAAAGCTAAGACAGACGGAATGACAAGAATGTACTCCTCGTGGACACAGTCCCAGGCCCAGATGCCTTGCTTCCATGATTCTCTAAATTGTACCAGCATCATTATTTCTACTCGCCTGCTTGTGACAAATCTCACTCACTCGAGTTGGTCTACAATACCATCCAACATTTCAAGCGGAGGGGCAAGATTTGATGTACAAAGAAAATGGACGTTGTACTCGTGGTGGACTTCTGCACGCGGCAATCCTGCAGCGGTAAAAAGAAAAGAGTTGTGTTTGTTCCACTTCTTCGACCAGTTTCCAGATGTGTCGTCACAGTATAACCAGAGAGGCATCGCATAGACACGAGCGCCCGATGCCCGAACACGCCATTTGTTGCCTTCGGAAGGATTGGTTAATGTCCATGGCTGCAATTCGCCATTTGGTTCACGTTCAACACCTAAACAGATGTTTGTAAGTGTAATTGTCAAAGTGATAAATGATTCTACCATAGATTGAGTGTGCGCAAGGTAGACCAGATGTTGCTTCGCTTGAATCCCAGTTTTTGAATGATACAAGAAGGTCATCTTCTGATACTTCGAATGAACGAAAATCTTCTACAACCCAACCACAGTCCAGTTCATTGGTGACGGGCCGCAATGACCAAGCTTTAGTGTACATCTTCCCACCACGTGTGAACCAGCGAAATGGAATGCAAGCTCGGCCGCTCAATAACAGTGCAGGCTCGAAAACAAAGAAATCTTGGTTGTGCAGTCTGGCGACAGGCGTAAGCAGCTCCGGGTCGAGTTCCTCAAGCCAACGTTTAGCTTGTCGAGCTTCATTCAGTTCCATGCCAGTATCTTCAGGGTAGAAGTGTAACAGTGGGCGAACTCGAGGATTCATCATTTCCTTCAAACACGACTAAGTGTAAAATATTAATTACAAAACATAACACACCTGCCGAATAATGTCAGGCAGCGAGTTAACATAGTACTTATGTCCAAGAGCACCATCATAAGGGATTGAGCGGATACCACATAACCGTTGAATAGTGTCTTTGATGAGTTTGACAGACTTCACCGAAGGTACATCATCTACATTGTTGACCCGAAGTAGCCAGAGCAAAATGTCAATCTGTCGTTCTGAAAAAACAGAGCGCGGAAGGTGCATGAGAATATCAAGCGTGCACGTCTAATACAAAACCATTGGATCAACAACAGTTGGCAGGTTGATACTAGAAGACCTTACAATTTTATCGGGCCACGGAAACCACTCCTCATTCACGCACAGGTTCGTGTCATATTTATGCATTACTTGCTCTAATTGTAGAGCATCTGTGATGCATTCATCCTACAGCTGTAGTGCCCCCGCATAGTAGCAATACTTGTATACCTGATGCATTACTCCTCCCACTCATCCCTAATGCATCAATTGTCTCCCTATAACGCTGATGCATTATCTGAAGCTGATGCACGCTCCCGCCGTTGTTCTGATGCATCCCTCGGTGTTCTCTGATGCATGACTCCTCCCAGCTGATGCACGCTCCCGCTGTTGTTTTGATGCATGACTCCTCCCAGCTGATGCACGCTCCCACTGTTGTTTTGATGCATCCCCCGATATTTTCTGATGCATGACTCCTCGTCGCTGATGCTCCCCCGCCGTTCCCGCTGTTTATTTGATGCATCCCTTTGATGCATCCCCCGATGTTCCCGCTGTTTGCTCCCGCTGTTTGTTTGATGCATCCCCCGCCATTCCCGCTGCTTGTTTGATGCACGATATATATTGGTAGATGTACTACTAGCTACTGGCTATATAATACATTCTTCGGACCCATCCTGCACGTTCAGATGAGATAGCGTCTGTGCCCAATTCGCCTCAAACGAGGCTGCCAGTTGCATGCGCAAGTGCGCCTGACGATGTGCATACGCTACGCACCCGTCCTCATGCTCCGCGTCAGTCGGTACAACTTCGTTGCGCCTTTCGTCCCAACGCCTCGCTTCCCACCTCAGGAATGCTCCTATGCGACGCATTTCCTCCCGAAGGAGTGCTACTTCCTCCTCCCATCGCATTGCACGAGCTCTCGCTTTGCACCATTCAATCCTCATGTCTGTAGGTAGCATCATTAGAAAGAGAACTCATTCTCGGATAATGCTTACCTTCCAAAGCTCCATTATCATCTTTTTCGCTTCCACCAGCGCCCCGCATATTCCAGATCCACGGGAGCTTTCGTCTGCCTTCGGATTCTCCCCAAAGAATGTCGGACATCGAGCGTATGTCTTGGCGGCTTAAGGGACGTAGCGAAGATTGCCAGCCGGACTCGTTCAACAAATTACCTAGAACCACCAGTGCCTTATGCGCACATTCATATCTCCTAGTAGCGGATTCGATCCTGATGTCAATCGCCTTGAGAGTGTTGCGAGCTCTGGTATTCGCCCCTTGGCCTCGAAGGTGTCGGTCTTTGTGCTTGAGAATGGCTGTTTGAGCGCGCAGGCAGGAGCGCAAAGAGCGAAGCGCGTCGTGGCCTTGAGCGTATCGAAGTCGCCATTCTGTCCTCTGCAGGGATTGATCGCAAGGTAGAGACCTCCCGATCTGCGAAGGTAACCATAACTTGAAGCTTTCAGCGGTGGAAGAGATGGAGGAAGGGTTTGCGGCGGTTGCATTGTCCGAGATCCGCATGGCCGCGACGTTGGGCATATAGAGCTCTTGAATCTTGACCCAGGAATCGAGGCGACGCTGTAATGCATTACTACGCTCGACTAATTTACCTTCTTGATTGTCCGTGACGTGTAAACCACGACCATCCTTGTCAGCTCTCAAGCGCCGTCTGGGAGAAAGTATGAGTCACCACGCAAGCGAAAATGTACGAAAAGACGTACTGTTGCTCCTCAAGTTCCAGCGCCGAACTGATCAATATACTAGGGGAGCAATCCTCGTGAAGTGAGATACGGGCACCGCTCTGCATGCTTTGTTCCTCTTCTTTGGCCAGCGCTAGCCGAACGGACGCTAGTGTTATTACTGAAATGAAAACCAATGCGTCAGTACTTCGTAATGGTGAATGGGTCACATACCATCTGAGTTTCGCTCGAAGGGATTAAGTTGACTTTGATCATTCTCCCAGGCCTCCACCTGCGATCTCCATTGCTCTAAAACCTCCCCGTACTCCTCTTTAAGGCCTTCTTCAAGGTCGTTAAGGGCTGCTTGATGATCCGCGCATTGAGGCACAGCTTCTTTAAGCTTGCGCTGCATAGTATTACCTAAGAAAACAAATAAGCCCAACCCCCCAACACAAGAGACATACGAACCAAGACCGACAACTTTTTTCCAATTCCAGTCGCCGAAAAAATCATCTAAGGTATCCCGCCGTGCACCAGGTCCCATCTCCTTGGTGCTGGACGCAACGGGGTTGATGTTGGCCCACCCACGTTCCGGCGCTTCGCCATCCGTGCGACCAACGCCTCGTTTGAAGTTGAACGAAAAGGTAGTCTGGCATTTCTCGACATGCGCAGGTAAGTGAAACTTCGGCACGAAGAAAGAGATGGCCTTGGAAGTGTGATCGAACTGCATTGAAGTAGGGAACGCGCTCATACGCTGCCATAGCTTCTTATGCCACTGGCAGGCAATATCGTAGGAGATGTTGAGAGTCTTCAGGGACGAATGGCGAAGGGTCGAAAAGAATAAGTAGTCCATATTTATATACCTATTGGCCGTCAGTCAATGCATATCCCGAAGTTCGATAATACTTACTTTTCACCTTTTTGAAGGTCTCCAACTGCGTTTGGCCGTTTCATATTGTGACGGGCGCAGTCGATGGTGCCCAGACCAGTAGCAGCCAGGCCCCGGTTGGTCTTTGTGTCTGCCATGTTGACTGCAGTATGACTGGAACAAGTAGATTTCTAAACACGATTAGCAGGTAACCAGCGCAGTACAGTGGACCAGAGACTTACCTCTTGAACAATGTCGATCTTCTCTGCGAGGAATTCCTTGTACCCTGCCTCCTCTACAAAATAAGTCCAGCCGCGACTTAAACTGGGGTCCGTGAAATTGTTGGAAACAACTTTCTGCTTGAGACGGAAGTTGGCGTCGATGGCGACAAACAATGCATACATCCAACTGACAAAACTGTTAAGTGTCCACCTATATGATAGAGCCTCCGACTCACCGTTTCGCCTGAGGAGCATTCTCCCAATTGTCCGGTAAATTTTTACCGGGGTGCGGACAAGCTGGACACAACACGGCACATTCTCCTTCTACTGTAGCATCCAAGCCTTTGGGGTCGTGCCCTCTGCCGGACCGCTTAAGCATGGTTAAATGTCGCCATTCACGTAACATTCGCATGAAACACTCATATCGAGACTGAGTGATCACATTAGCTTTGTTGCGAGCGTGCTGATCAACACACTTACTAACCTTAACAGGGGCCAGACCGGTGTTGTTGGTTCTCCGCGTAAGAGCATTGTAAAATTCATAAGCCGATACCTTAGACTCAAAAGACAATATATGGAATTCCTCCAGGAGACGGAATGTTGCTGCCGTTTTAGGGTTGGCCGTCGTGGAAGGAAACCAAGAGATTCGAAGAAGTTGTTGTACGTGTGCGACTGCATTTGAACAACCGCAGAAGTCGAGTGATACCTCATGAATAGCATGAGAATCCATGACAACGAAATCATCGTTGAAGGCGCGACGGGGTTTGGGGCACACCTGACCAGGTGCATGGCCCAATTGGATTCGGAGCCCGAGGGCTTTCAGGGTGACACGTTCAAAGAACATTCCATTCCATTTCTGCAGAGCTCGGTCAGAACATCTCATATTATCAAAACGGACAACTGACCTGCAATCTATGGAGTGGATGGAGTTGGTGTGCAGTTTTGATACAGGATGAACATTGGAGATTGACGCCAAAACAGTCTTCACAACGATAGTTGGGGGAAAGATCACCGCACCCAGAACACGGCGCGTTCCTGAGGTTGCCCTTGCCTTCGAGACGCAATATCTCTTCAAGAAACAGAGGGCGATCCTTTAACCACACAAGTAACGGATGATCCTACACACTTTGAGCAATGAGAACACATGATCCGAATCTAAAACTTACTCCTGGTGCGCGACCTATTCTTACATCTTCATCGTCGAACGGCACGGTATCGACATCCCATGATTCAACAGTGTTATCGAATTGATCAGGGATAAGGGCTGATGTTGTCGACTTAGGCTGGGTTGTTGCCTGGGCGTTCTTAGGAGGCTCGAGATATGACCGCGTGTAGCTAATAGATCCATCCCCGCGAACTTGATACTGAGTATGCTGACGATGCTGAATCCCTGACGGCTTGGAAGTGCGCAAGTAGGAATTCAGCTTGGGATTCTTCTTCCGCTTCTTGTTCGGCCGCAAGGCATGTAGAGTTCGTGATAGTTCTTCAGTGCAATGGATCACCTGGGATGATGTTGCCCCCGCAGAGGGCAAAGCAGCACTAGCAGAGACACTCATGCTCGCGAAACGCACCAAGTACCACCCAGCGACAAACTCATCAGCTGTGAAATCATTAGTAAGCGATCTGACATTGATCTTCCACTTACCTAGATTCTTGGATGACAGTGGCAGTACCTTTGCCATTCGTGCGCGTGAAGCGCCGTGAACGGCTGTCAGTTTTGGTAAACAATGCGGCAGGAAATTCCTCTACCATGTATGCATACAGTTGTGAAAGTCGCTTATGTAATAATCCTAAACCGTCATACAGCACTGTACCTGATCATATTCCTTCTTGCTAACGGTCAACGATGCATCCAACGGCTCGTGCATAAAAGGTCATCTAAGTTGGAGACTCGTGAGTTCATTCGTCTCTTCTTTGTCCTTACTGATTTTCATGGCGAACCACAACCGTCTGGACCGTGAAGGTCAAATTATCCTTGGTACGTTGTTTCGTCGTTGATCATTGATTCTCACTCATTATTGGCAGATGCTGTAATACAGCTTTTATCCTCGTTGACGCTCTCCCCGGACGACGCTCACAATCTCATTCGAGTTGTTGTCGACAGTACCGAGTTACAGTCACCTTCCACTTTGGAGACTCCTCAGCCCCCTGCTCCTCACCCCACTACCCAGATTCATCTTGCGACCTCTCCCATTGTAACTCCAGCTTCCACTTCGCAGACTCCAGTTCCCACTGCGCAGACTAAATCTCCCACCCCCCTTGTTGTGCAGACTCTTCAGCCTCCTGTGTCCCTCCCGGTTCCGTCTTCATCCATCCTCCCAACAACCACAACAACCTTCAACGGGGAGGAAAGGCGTCAGCAGCAATACAATGGCTTCACCTTTGATATTCCATCTGCTGACGCAAATGGACCATTCTACCTTGTCAACCGAGGTCGCCGTGTTGGCGTTTTTGATACATGGTGCGGTTTTTTCCTCACTCTAATTCCAGTATCTGATATTGAATCACAGGCCGCGCACTTCCCCCCATGTGATTGGGGTGAAAACATCTTCGTATAGTCGTGCGCGGTCCTTGGATGATGGGATTTCGCGTATCATGGATGCCATAGACCTAGGAGAAGCAGTATGGCTTCCTTGAAGGGAAGATAGGCGACTCTTGATTCACATAGTTCGAATACAATTTTTGTAGTGAGGATCCGTACAATATAATGAGGATCTGTTGACTCCTCGTGGCAATTACTCTGTGAATAAATGTAGATAATGCGCGAGGCGCGGAATACGTCTAAGTCAAGTGGGAAAGTGAAGCGCTAGCATGTCTTGAAGGAGGAATGCGTAATCTACAATGAGACAGATGTATATAGACTCTACAACACAGCAAAATCAGGGGTCTTCTGATAGAGCAGCTCACCTCGCGCATGATGGTAAAAGAGAGAATGTATATCATCCATAGCGTGCATGAGAACATCCTCCAGCGCTTTGTTGACATCATCTACCCTTCCAGCAGTAAGCTCGACCTGACGCAGCTCCTTCCCCACACCAAGGCGTTGCAAAGTTGCGCAATGGCATTCCTGAACCTGTTGTCGGAGTTCCTCTACTTTTACCAGCAAAGTCGTGATAGCCTGGATGCAAGACTCGATGTCTGTGCTCGCTTTGAAATCGTGGACTAAGTTGTCGAAAAGCTCAGTCGAGGAGCCGTTCATGAGGCGGTTGAGTGCAGCATCTACATTTGCTAGAGTCCCACTTGTAAAATAAGTAGTTAGTTCGAGGTAACAAAACGCTCTGGGATAGACTCACCTCCTGCCCGCGCATAATTTAACATGTCGTTTAGGAATTTTCTGAGAGTCCACATTGACGCTGCAATGACATGAAAGTGAATCAGACATTTGTGAAAGAAGATTAAGCTCACTGTTGTTGTGCTCGGAGTCGATACCTTGCTTTGTCCTTCAAACTGATGATAGCGCGATTCCTACACATTATAGTTAGTATTAGAATCTGCGTTGCTGTGTATACAACTCACCGGTCATAATATTTTTTGCGGGATCGTCTTGCTGCCTCCGTTTTCTCTTCAGAAGTCCAGTGCAATCGAGGGCGAGTCATAGTGTGGTTATGAAGTAAGTGTGGGAGGTTAACAAATCGAAGATCGCAATGAGCCGGGAGTTCGTATGGTAGGTAATTTACACGAGAATTATAATATAACATGTCTCCGTAACCTACAGACGACCGATTGTAAAATAAAATATAGTGAGCGTATGTATGGGTACTGTAGGCATCATTTGGTGAATGTGTGACTGCTATATTAAAGTAAGAACATGTCTAGCGAACATATTTTGAGGAATTTACACGAGATTTATAACATAAGATGTCACTGTAGCCTACAGACAATTGAATTGTGAAGTTGAACATGGTGCAGCGTGTGTATGGATACCGTAGGCATCATTGGTGAATATTTGACTATCAAATTAACCTTGAGGGAATGTCTAGCGAACATATTTTTGTCGCGACACCTTGATCTACTACTGCACGCCAATCAATCATTGCTAGTAGCAAGACTCCTATTAAACAAATTCACAAAGTTTTCCTCAACATCCGGAGTGCATATTTGCTTGCCATTATCAAAACCAGCTAGTACATAGTGTATATATCTCTATGTACATATGTATACTTTTGCCGATATAAGAGACGGTGCCAGTAGCATGCAAGACCTAGGTGGAGGTCTAGAATTATGGCGCGGATACTTCCGGTAAGCTCAATCTAGGTGGAGGTCTAGAATTATGGCGCGGATACTTCCAGTAAGCTCAATCTCTCCCGGTATACAGCTCAATTCTAGGTGGAGGTCTAGAATTATGGTGCGGATACTTCCAGTAAGCTCAATCTCTCCCATATTCATGATGCTTCGACTCAGAGGACATTCTATTCGTAGGGCGCGATGTTTTGAGGGCAATCCAGCACTCCGCCGCGGAGTCCAAAAATAGCATATATCAGTCTCATCTCAGACGATCAGTACGTGCAAACACCCACTAAAATCTGCTGAGGTATGCGATCTATTTTTCTTCTATATAATGACTACGGCTAATGTTTACAGTCTGCGAAACATATTTGCAGGAGAGAGTTTCAATGAACGGCTGCCAAACGTTTCACACTGAGGTACGTGACACTGAGGTACGCGAGCGGGTCCAGGCTAAGTATAAATTTCGCAGTCAGCGACACCCAAGCCGACGGTACCAGAATGGTCAAGCGATCAACTGAAGTGGTTAGAGGACCAGATGGCCCTATACTCGTTAGCCTGCCAATACGACGACCTCTTGGAATTCTGGCCATCGTTGTTCGACATTTTTTTTGCTTGTTGGCCGATCATTCCAGAGTCCGAGGTCCTCACCACTGAGCAACAACACTCCCTTTTTCAGGCGGAAGAACAGCGCAAACTCGTAAGTATTTTTATATAAATTATTAAGTTACATTGTAGCTCTGACTACTCGACTGCAGCGCATTAAAGCTTGGTTCGAACAAAAGAAGACCAACTCTATGGTACCACTTACCATAACGTCTGTGTCTGCAGATGGCCAGATGGTCTTGCGTTTTGAGGAGCCGTTCGAGGAAGCGTTCAACCGTACTTTGAACGTTCAACCGTAGTTGGAGGACAGCGAGGCAGATAGCAACAAAGAAGCATAGTATATTTAGAAGTACCAGAGCCGCCAAATTAAACTTTGTTTGATACCTAACTCTATAAACGAAGTCTCTGCGTTTGATTCTCGAGCCTCGAGTGCGCTCAAGGCAACAAATGAAAAAGTTTGACCAGCACACGTGAAATCGCGAGTGTTGTTCTGAGGTACATAAGGCTTTTTTCTTTTATTTTCATACATTACATTCAGCACGCTACGTGATACGTGACCTAATTCAATAATTAACAGTACGACATGCCGACATTTCATCATGCTGCTCTGCGGACTGACATGGTACTTACAGATGCCGGCAGCAAAGTGGACCACCGATGAACAGTACGTCTGGCTTCAAGATCGGTTAGCGACGTATATGGTCCACGCGAAGGAAAAGGATTACTCACGTTTCTGGGCTCCGTGTCGTATAGCCTGGTTCGCGCAGTTCCCAGAACGTGCGGTGGTCTATCCTGACATCCCCAAGGATGTTGAGCTTACCTGCGAGCAGCAAAAGGTCGTTGAGCTCGCAGAGGAGGCGCGTGAGGCGGTAAGCTCTTTGGCGTGTTACCTATGCTGCGTTCTCACAATCAGTACCTATCCACAACAGCAACTACACACCTGGTTTCGCTGGCGTGTCAATAAATCTAAGAAGAACCGCAGCCTAAAGAAGAAACTAACAGTCTTTGACGATACTCTGCAGCCGAAGAGACGCGCGAAGTCAGAGGCTGAAATTTATTCAGAGTTGTATTATGACGAGCGTATCAAGCCCTTGGTGATGGCTGAGCAAGATGCCGGAAACGTGGCAACGTCCGGCAAGCGCGTGGCCCTTGGTCGAAAATTCTCGAAGGAGTTACTGGAAGATGAGACTGAAGAGATCAAGGCAGAGATTCGTGAAAAGTATGAGGAACAACTCACTCACAAGAAGCGCGCCAAGCGTGAGAAGAACGTTCTTGACGATGACGCCGACAACGACGACAACGAAGAGTTAGATGCGGAGGCAATCATGCAGTACGTGTGATTCAGTTCTATCAGTGTATTCAATACTAATGCCATTCAAATTTTACAGAGGTATAGATGACTTACCTGTCATTTGTCGACGCTTCGCGAAGCTTGTCAAGCAGAAGACTCGCTTCATGGTCTCGTTTATGTTTGCTGGTCCTGATCCTAGAAATGACTGGGACATGACGACATTATCGTAAGTTGCGAGGATTTGTCAGCTTGTACTGCCACTCACGCAGAGAAGGTGTCATCCTTCAGAAACACCTCAAGGCGATTCCTTTGCCGAGCTATACCAGACGGCTGATAGCGACTTCTTGGCAGCCTTCCAGCAGTACGCAGAACAAATATTTCGTAAGTCTTCTTATCTCGCATTAATAGTGGCAACACTCACTGAAAGTGCGTGCA